AGGACCAGAGAAGGGTTAGGTGGGAAGAAAGTGCTGGAGGTCTCTGTCCACTCCTCATTCCAAACAGGGCTGCCCTTGCAGCCATGTCACGTCTCATGGGGTCTCATCCAGGCAAGTCTCAACCATCTCCAGAGATGGAGGTGGCATATCTTCTGCCACAGGCTTTGCTTTTTCCTCTGGAGAATGTCTCCTGGGTTGCAGCGGGGAATCTCGATGATCTCTGTGATGTAAAATCTATGTCCTTTCTGTCAGCAATGAAACAAAATCTCTAGAAGTTACTCGTGGGAGGACTACTTTCCTCCTTTCCTGCAAATACTGGGCATCGCCTGGCAAAGGAAGCATGTCCAGAAATGTGACCCAGACATCTTGTTGCTAAGGTTGGGGTGTTGCAGGACTAGAAAGATCCTCAAGCCAGGAGACAGTTTAAAGTACTAAAGGGACCAGTGTGCACCTTGCTTCTACTGATGTCTTCCTTAGCATGTGTAAATCGCAGCTTAGGAACCCACCTCTGAACTTCTGGTCTCTGCCCCATCTCTGTCACTGACTGATGTCTCTTTTGGTCTCTCCTTACAGATTTGTAAAACCCAGGAGTCCAAGGTGGCCGCTTCATACTGCAGCCCTGCAGTGCCAGTCCACTTCAACATCCAGCAGGACTGTGGGCATTTTGTGGCCTCTGTCCCCTCTAGCATGCTGCTGGCCTCAGATATGGGGAAAAGCATGCCTAGGGATGGCCTCCATCCCTCCCACACTGCCAGCGAGCATGACTGTGTGGTGGTCATTACCCGGGAGGTGCCAAGCCAGACCACTGCTGACTTTGTGAGGGACTCGGTGATGTTGCATCAAGCCAAGCCTGAGCTGTACGAACGTCGCGTTTGCTTCTTGCTCCTCCAGCTCTGCAACGGCCTGGAGCATCTCAAAGAGCACGGCATCATCCACCGGGACCTGTGCCTGGAGAACCTCCTGCTTGTCCCCTGCAAGCCCCCCATGAGCTGTGTGAAAGCCAAAGATGACAAACACTTACCCCGCCTCATCATCAGCAATTTTTTGAAAGCCAAACAGAAGCCAGGAACTGGAGACTCCAAACTGAAGAAGAGTCAGGCCCGGCTGGCCCCGGAGATTGTGTCGGCTTCTCAGTACAAGAAGTTTGATGAGTTTCAGACTGGTATTCTCATCTACGAGCTGCTGCACCAGCCCAACCCCTTTGAGGAGAAGGTGCACCTCAGGGAGCAGGAGTACAGCCCTGAGGACCTCCCTGCTCTGCCCAGCCTGTCCATCTACTCCCGGGGGCTCCAGCAGCTGGCCCACCTGCTGCTGGAAGCAGATCCCATCAAGCGTGTGCGGATCACTGAGGCCAAGAGGATGCTGCAGTGTCTGCTTTGGGGGCCCCGGAAAGACCTCACTGAGCAGCCCCTCAGCCATGAGGAAGCCCTCCGCCGAGTGCTTCAGAACTGGGTGGACATGAAGCGTGCCCTGCTCATGATGAAGTTCGCAGAGAGGGCTGTGGACACGGAGCGGAGCATTGAACTGGAGGACTGGCTGTGCTGCCAGTACCTAGCGTCTGCCGAGCCGGCCTCCCTCTCACACACGTTAAAACTGCTGCAGCTGCTTTGACCTTGGATGTGTCCTGGAGAGAGCTGAGGGCTCCCGCTTGCCTCGTGGCTAAAGGTACACAGCCCCTTTATACGCGAGAGGCTTGACTCTCAGCTGCAAATGCACGTTGAGCTCCTGCCCCACACTCCGATCAGAGTGTACAGGACATGTTTAGTACCCTCAGCACTGCTAATCTGTGAGCAGGCAAAACTGGGAACCTACCCCTATTTCAGGGGATTTTTAAAAATTTTTTTTTTGGTATGGTAAGCCTGTGGACTAATAAACTCCCGCCTGCGTGTGTGCATGTTTCTAATGAACTCAATGTACTTGAGTTGATTTCTGCACCTGTAGGACAGTCTTTTGATCCCCGCACCCCCTAAAGCATCAGAGGCTTTTTGCCCGGGAACACCACCGCTCTCCCGAGTGGACGGCAGGGATGAACAGTTGGCTGGTTCTCCTGGGGAGCAAGGGCAATTCACGTGATGCTCCTTTGCAAGGGACAACCAGGAGGGGCTTTTGAATTCACATCTTTCGTGGGTTTTGGCATCCATTTTGCTTTGCACTTTAAAACCAAAAATTACTGCTTGTTTCTGTGTATCAGCTGTATTTTCCACTGTGGGCAATTCAGTATCAGCTGCCTATTACCTTCATTAGATACTAATACAGCATGGCTTTCCTGTCTAGTGGTGCAGCTGCGCAGGCTGTTGATTGTGAAAGGGTGAGAGAGAACCCAGGATGGGTCTTTTCCTGAGGATGATGCTGCATGCTGGGAATTACCCCTTGTAAAGTTAATGAAATGGAAAATCCCCAATTCACCTCCAAGGCCTTGGGCGGGGAAGCCAGGGCCAGGTTGCTTTGCTTTCCCCATCCCTCCAGCTCCCTCCCTTCATCTGGTAATTCACCTGTCCCTTGTGTCTAGCATTTATTTAACCCCTTCATCGAGAGATGAGCTGGCATGTGAAAGGCCAAGGCCACTGGCCTGTGGTCTGGAAGGATCTTATTGCTGCTGGTGTTTGAATTAGTAATGCATAGGGCTGAGTGCACTGTGAACACGTTCCTCCAACAGATGCGATGCAAGAGCAGCATGATGGAAGAGGGACAAACTGGCCTGGCTCCCTCCAGTGCCCTTCCCTCCATGCAGATATATAGCAGCCACTCAGCTTGGTAGAGAGGCTGTGCTGCTGATTTTCCAAAAGGTTATGGGCTGCTTTTACTCTTCCACCCCCAACACGAGGCAGAGATGAGCTGCCCTGCTCCTGGCACCAGTTCGGCAGCCCTTGGAGAGGAGGTGGGTTTGGGACACATGGAGAGAGCCTGGCGTCAGCTTAACTGAGACAGTATGTCACTAGCTGAGCTACCCCATTCCGAGCTCAAAATGGGGAGGGATTCATGAGCGCTTTCCTGCAGCCTTGGTTCACCTCCAGACTTGGGGGAATTTTAATTCCCTGTGTTTTTTGACACTTCATACACTTTCTGTGAATCTTTTCCAGGCTTCTCACCTGGATTTTTTTTTTTTTATCTGTTTGGCTATCGTTGCTGCTGATGGGAGGGAATGGTTCCTTGGCTGGGCACCCATTTGCAATGAATTTCCCCTGATCCCCTTAGGGAGGAGGCTGTGCACGTCCCTGCCTGCTGAAAGAATGTGGGATGGCTCCAACTGCGGCTGTCAGGCATTTTTTTTTATACACTGGCTTTTCTTGCATCTGACTCTTGGGTCCACTTCCCTCCAACATAGGTGGCAGGAGCCTTCTGGCTTGGAAACCACTGTCCCGTGGACCATCCTGGATACATTGCCCTGGAAAGTCTGTCCTTGGCATGCTGCATGTGGTCTCACACGGGCAAGCAGAGTGATGAAACAGCTGGAGAACCTGTCTGAAGGAGCCCAGCATATTTTCAGAGATTAGATGGAGAGATGACTCAGTTTCTAAGCATGGATATAGGGAATAAGTTGGAGGCAGCTCTGCAGGGCAGCACTGAAGGAAACAGGGCCTGGCCATGATAAATCCAAGCTCTGCTGGCAACGGGGAGATTGTATGTGGAGCAAGTGGCTTGCAAGGCTTGGGTTGGGTACTCAACAGGACTCAAGAAGTAGCCAAACATCCATCCAATCAACATAAAACAAGGGGTTTTTTGCATTTTGCATGCTGGGTTTCAGTTTAGTGAACAAACACGGATACAGGTATTGGCACAGGGCCTGCACAGCATGGGATGTTAACCTGATCAAAATGCTCTCCCTGGAGTTTGGGCACTCGAGACTGGTTCTGGTGTTGGTCCTGGTATCCTGCAGCAGCATGCCCAGCAGACCAGAAGCCAACAATAGTCATGTAGCATTTTCAGCTATATTATTTTGAGATTTGGTCGGTGGCTTCTTGCTCTCATATAAACAGAAACTCTGATCTCCATGCGTTCCTGACAACTTCCCCTATGGTAGCTCATGCTTCTTCTCCAGCCTAAACAGTCCTAGGCCTTTGGGTCCTAGGCCAATGCGTGAACTGGAGAAGTGCTTTAGGGTTTCTGCTGTGTATCTTTGTGGGGAAAGCAATGCCTAAGCCTTGGTTGAATGCCACAGCTGAGTCCGAGGACTTTGCTGGCTTATTCCCCCTTGCCTGTGCTGTCCTCAGCACACCATGGCCAGTAGCTCCCCTTTTCCTAGCAGGCATTTTTGACCTTGTGCCCAGGATCCGCTGCAAGAATTGTGGAGGGGATGGATCATCCCTCTTCCTCATGTGGCAGGGGACACAGCTGACCCTGCACCTGGGGGGCCAAGCATGTCATCCACTTGCTGAGGGGTGGGTATTGCAGGAGTCGTCTAATTGGGAACACAGTTTGGGGTCCACATGCCACAGGGACAGTGCTGAGGAGCAACTGCTGGAGGAGCACCACAGACCCATGCATCTCAGTAGTACTGCTGGGTGAGGAAAGGGGTGTTTCTTGTCTTGTGCTGCCCCCAGGCAGACTGCCAGCCCCTCTCCCTATGCCCAGGCTCCCAGTGGTCCATGCGCACAAGAAAGATGGCAAGGCAGCTCTCTGCCAGTGCCTGCTATCGCCATGGAGGACAGATTCCCAGGAGCTGGACACAGTTGCCAAATGGTGCATTTGTAGCACAGGTGAGTCTGGTGGGGAGGTGGTGTTCCTCCTACATGAGATGAGACTGAGTGAGACCCAAATCACCAAGACAAACACTAGGCAGGCAGTGCTGCTAGAAGCCCTCTTGCCCAGTGGTCTGGTGACCTCGCCTCCCTGCTTCAGAGCATCCCCCAAAGCTGGGGCATATCCCAGGAGTAAAAGCCAACCTGGTTCTCCAGAGATGCTGTTATATGGGATCGCTTGGCCAATAGCACTTCTCACCCTGCGTGCTCACGTGTGCAGGGTTGTGCCCCACCGGCCGTGCAAGTTAGCCCAGGAGAGGCTCAGTTCTGCTTCGGCTTCTTGGCAAGCAGCAGCAGCACGAGGCTGTAGGAGAGAGGAAGGATGCTGTTGCAGGAAGTCCAGAGTAGGCAGAGCATGGAGAAGCTCTCGGTCTCCACAGCCACCAGGATGTAGGCGATGATGAGCTGTGTGAAGACCCAGGTTGTGCCACGGTAGAAGAGCTTTACACCCTGGCAGGTGGCCCAGGTGCTGAGGAAGGGGTGGATGCGGTAGTCAGCCTCCACCATGACAGCCCAGCACAGGAAACCAAAGATCTGCCCGGGTCGGAGGCCGTGCCACCAGGCGGAGAAGGCAAAGGTGGCTAGGAGCGGCTGGGCTGAGCAGCGCTGGAAGATGAGTCTCCTCAGCCAGCGGGACGTGCTCTTGTTCCAGGTTCGGGCGAAGACGGCCACGCGGTGCGTTGTCTCCAGCGTCCACAGGTCATGGATGGAAAGGTCTCCCTGGCCCGCCTCCAGCCCGAAGCCCGCC